TTCAATAAAAATTGTTGAAAACATCATGTAGACCTTGACTGTTATCAACCCAATACGTTATTAAGAAGACATGGTGCCAAAGTGAAAGTTGATGTGTTATTTATTTTAAATGTGTTTTTATACCTTTATTCACTAATTATAAAAATGATAATCAACAACTTTCTTACTATTTGATGGACATTATTGTTCATTTTATTACAGTAAATACATGTAACATTTTGGGATTTAAGCACATACTTTTATAAAGAAGAACAAAATAACTAAAAACATTAATAAATTTATTATAATTTATACAATAACTTGTTTCAAAAATTGATCAAATGGTGGGTCTGAAAAGTAATGAAAACTACTTAACACTTGTATAGTTCAAAAGAGATACACAACGACAACCACGGCTTCGATACTTCGTGTCAAATGAATCAATTCATGATCATTCTATGGGTGTCATGCAATTAAGGTTGACAATAAGAAAAATATAAGTAATCTTTTTTAACTATTTTATAATAGTAAATAAACTATTTTTTAACCAGTTTTTCAAAAATACTATTTTAGTTACATAAATGGTTAAATTATAATAATTAATAGTTTTTAAATATAATAATTTATAAATCTAAATTTATTTATCGCAACATCACTTATTTAAATTAATTTAAAATAGTATTAACAAACAACAAATTTATTAATTAATAACAAAGTTATTTTTCATTTGATAATATACAAGTAAATAATAAAAACAATTCTTTAACTTTACTAACAATAAAAATTAAAAAAGTCTTTTATCGCAACAAAACAAAGTAACTTTAAAATTTTTAGATTAAAAAACACTTGTTAAATTTTGAAATAAAAATAATAATTAATCAATAAAATTTAACAATAATATAAAAAACAATATCAATAGCCTATAAAATTAACTCTTTTATAAACCTTTTTAAACAATGTCCCAACCTTCTTCCAAGCCCCCCTCAATTAAAGAAAGAATATAAAAAAGGTTCCGAAAAACATGAAAGTTTGACAATGATTGGTCCGAAAATTCCTGTTAATCAAAGGGCTGAACAATACCTAATTAATTGCCCTATTATTTTCAAAGCTTTCCAAGACCTTGAGATAAAAATAAAAAAACTCTTTTCCCATTTTTAGAAAGCAAGCGCGGTTTTCATTAAACGATCTTTCTAATGTACCAATTAATGAGTTTAAAGGAACTAAAAAATCAATTAGAGTAGCACTTGAGTGTTTTTTCGGGACTTTTAAGGAATCGGGTGTAAATTCCCAAATTCAAAAATACAAAAAGAAGACAAAAATGGAAAAATTTCGGAAAAGGGAAGAAAACGACTTCTTTCAGACGAAGAAGTTCTAAAAATAGCAGAAGAAATGAAAGAAACCAAAAAAGCAAAACCAGAAGAAATTGGACTTTTCATGTTTGAAAATTTCGGCAAAACAACGGGAACAAGGCAATTAAATAAAGTCCTTAAATTAATCCCAGGAATTGAAACAAAAAAGGCCCAAGTTATGGAAACAAAACGAGCAGAGGTATCACAAACTACCATCCTGCAGTATTACTCAGAATTAAAAAGAAAATTGGATGGATGCAGATTTGAGCTTGTTTTTAACTTAGATGAAGTTGGATTCGATGAATGGGTTGATTCAAGAACCCGAGTTGTCTACGTGTCAGTCGAATCAGGGGAACAAGTTTTTAATGAAGTCGACAGAGATGGTTCTAGAACGAGTCTTTTGTGTTGTGGTTGTCTAGATGGGACAAAAATGATACCCCTTGTTGTTACCAAAAGACTCACCATCGAAGACAACCTAATTGTGGAACTCAAGAGTCGTACTATTATTAGATACCAAAAATCAGGTGTTCTAAATACGGAATTATACACCTTGTGGCTCAAACAAGTGTTTTTCCCGAATATTAAGGAAAAAAGAACCCGAATGGGTGTGAGAGTTGATACGAAGGCGTATCTAATTATTGCCGGCTTTTTGGGCCATTTCAGTGATGAAATTGAAGCATTATTTCGGGAAATAGTGTTGAGATTATAAAGGAAGTCCCCCACAGTTCCCATTTATGTCAGCATATGGATCTGGGAATTTTCGGGAAACAAAAAACTTTCCTTGTGGACAAAAACAATTTGATGTTACACAAAATTTCATTAAGTGAAAAAGAAAATGAAAAGTGTGACGAAAAGGTCCAAAGAAACGGGAAAATTCTCAAAATGAACTCACCCGAGTTCAAAAATGCATTGAAAAAATTTGCAAAGCTCTCAGAGGAAGACAAAATTAGGCAGCTTGTTTACTCATGGGAAGTAGTGTTTGATGGCGACACGATGACCAGCGCCTTCAAACAGGCTGGTATAATTTATGTGGTTCAACACCCATCAAAAGAAGAGTTGGAAAACATGGTGTCAACCCTAACTTCAACAATGTAGACCTTCTTAAAAGTGTTGCAAAAGTTTACATGTTCTATGCCAGAGAGGTTTGCTTTTTTCTTGGTAAGGATCCAAAAAGAAAAGAAACCCAAACTGTTAGAATCTCCATTGAAAATTATACCGATAAAAAGCATAGGCTCGGTGTTGAAAAACTAATGAAAATCGAAAAAGATGAAAAGAACAAAATTTCAAATGAAAAGAAACCTCGAAAAGAAAAAAATAACTTGGTTTTATTATTTTTTATTTTTTTAATTAAATTTTCTATTTATTATTAACGCGTTTTATCGCAATAAAAATCTGTAAAATAATTATTTTTAAAGTTCTAATAACCAAAAATGGGAAAGGGTATAAAAGAGAACTTTTAAAATGTAAATAACAAAATATAACGTTTAATGCGAAGTTAAACAGTTTTTGTTTGTTTATTAGACAGCAACACAATGAAGAAAATGATGTTAAAGTGATAAATTTAAAGTGACGACAAAGAAAAAGCCGACAAAAAAGAAGCCGAAATTCATTCTTGTTTTATTTATTTATTATAATTATCAAACTTAATGTTTATTTTTTTATTTGAAAAAGAATGTATTTTGGTTAAATGTCTTTATTATGTTGGTAATCTCTCGTTTTCTTTCAAATAAATTCTGTAATAACTCAACTATTAACCGTAATATAAATAGACTATAACTGCCTTCTTCTAAACATTTCGAAAAAATGCTCAGGCCAAATAAAAATGATGTTTTTTCTTTTTGTTTAAATAAAAAAATATAATCAAATAACATTTAGAAAACATTTTACCATTATTCACCAAAAATTATCAAAAGCAGTTTTTTCCTGAAGCGGTTTTTCCACCCCTTTATTTGTATTGTTTATTGTTATTCTGAGTCAAACACTGATGGTTCAGGTTGATTGATGTTGTTTTCACTTAAGTGTTTATCATCATATAATTTAAACAAATACGGTTTTTGTTTAATAAAAGGAACTTTAGAAAAAAATATTCATATCTTTTTGTGTATACAATTGATGGGTCACTTGGATGTGATATTTTTGTATTGTTGAGTTTGTATCAACTATTGTAAAATACTTGAGAAAAATTCCAATTCTCGTTAACTCGGGCTTACATTTTGTTGGTGATATTCGTTAAAGTTTGTACTGTGGTATCTTTCGCCGCTTCTAAGTATCCAGCAATTATGCTGTAAACAGAATGAAAAGTCAACTTTTTTAAAATTAACTCGGATTTATGAAT